TATAATATAAAGCTATCAGTAATTTGTTAGATATAATATAATATAAAATTATTTATATACAAGATTTGAAATATATAAAAAAAATATGAAAGGTGAAAGGTAATTGAAAGAAGATTTTTTATTAAAAGAGGTTTTTATTTTCAATTATAACATATTAAATTAAGATTCAGATAGTATCTTGATTTATATATTTTTCAAAAATATAAAAAGTAAATTAAATAAATAAAAGTAAAATAACTAATTTATATAAAAGTAAAATAATGAATAATAAAAAAGTGAAATAACTAAAAAGTAAAATAATATGAAATAATAAAAAAGTAAAATAACTAAAAAGTAAAATAATATATATATATATAAAAGTGAAATAATAAAAAAATGAAATAACTAATAAGTGAAATAATATATATAAAAGTAAAAAATTAAAAAAGTAAAATAATTAAAAAGTAAAATAATATATATAAAAAAGTGAAATAATAAAAAAGTGAAATAATAAAAAAGTGAAATAATTAAAAAGTGAAATAATAAAAGAAAATATTATTATTATATGAATATTTTTAGAATTTTTATATTTTTAATTATTTTTGAAATTTGTAATATTTATATTATTATTATAACAATATTTTATATTATAAAATATTTATTTAAGATAAATATCTAGAATTATTTTTAGTATTATAATTTAAAGAACTAATATTCTTTCAAAAAAAGCTTAATACTAATTTTATATATAATATTTGTAAAAAAATTATTTTACATTGCTTTAATGAACTTTTGAAACTAATAATTTGCATTAGATTTTATAAGAAATAATAATTAAAAATATTATAAAAAATAAAAAGCTAAATATAATATTAAGAAGTTTCTTTGATTAATAATATTATTAAATTAAAATTTTATTAAAAGTATTTAATAAATTATAAAAATTAATATTAACAAAGAAAATTTAAATAATTTAATAGTTAAAACAAGAATTAATAAAAAATAAAAATATCTTCCAATAAAATTGCTAAAATTTGATTAAATATATAAACTAATAAGTTTTAATCTTAATAAAAACTAATAAAAATTATATATATATTTTCAAAATAAAATAAATTATTATATTTATAATAATTTATATAATACAATTACTTTTATCTTTTGCTATATAAATAGTTTATTAATAAGATAAAATTTTATTATATAATACTAATTAATATAATATATAATTTAAAATTTAAATAAGTTATCTATTAGCTAAAAACTATTAAATTTATTAATTAAAATATATTTTTTTATATTATTTAATAGTTTTATAAATATTATAAAATTTTATTATATAATACTAATTAATATAATATATAATTTAAAATTTAAATAAGTTATTTATTAGCTAAAAACTATTAAATTTATTAATTAAAATATATTTTTTTATATTATTTAATAGTTTTATAAATATTACTTTAGTTATAATACTATTATTATTATTATTATATTCTAAATATTACTTTTGCTAATATTATTATATTGAATTATTGTAATTATTATGATAAATATGCTATAATAATTATATTTATTTTGCAATAATTATTAAATTTTTTTAATTAATTATAATATTTATAAATAATATTTTATAAAACTAGTATTCAATAAAATATAAATAATAATTATTTAATAATATTATAAAATTAAATATAATTAAATTTTTATAATTATTATTTTTGAAAAAACAAAATTTGGTGACTATAAAAAAATATGATTATAAAGAAATTTTTTTATTATATTTATATATATAAATATAAATATAAATATAATATCTTATTATATAGTTAATTTTATAATATTCTAATAAATAACTTAAAAATTTATTAATTAAAATATTATTTAATATAAATTTATGTAAAAAATATATTTAATTATAATTATTAAATAATTTTTAATAGTTTAATAAATTATACTAATTTTATAAATTAATAAAATTGCAAGATTATATATTATATAAATACAAATTTTTAATAATCAAAATAATAAATTTCCAAAATATAATTTATAGATCGAAATTTTGCTTATAAAATTCATTTTGATATTTTATTTAAAATATTTTTGTATAATTTTACTTTAAAAATAATTATTTAATTATATATTTTAATTTTTAATATTTTTAAATATTATTAGTTTTTTTATTTTTAAAAATATTACAAAAAAAGTATTATAATAAATTATTATATATATATTAATTCTTTTTTTAATTATAAATATTATTTTAAATTTGAAAAATATTATTTATATTTAATCTTATTTCTGATTGTTAATATTATTTTAAATTTGAAAAATATTATTTATATTTAATCTTATTTCTGATTGTTAATATTATTTTAAACTTTTTTAAATATTTAATTTTTTAATTTACTAATTTTTATAAATTTCAATTTTGAATTTTTTTATTTTAAAGTAATTAAATATTATTATATTTCTAATTAATTCAAGATTTATAAATTTAATATAATTAAAATTTCTAAAATAATTAAATATAATTAATTTTTTCTATAATAAACTAATAGTTCTATAAGTAAAAAAAGTTCAATATATAAAATTACTATATTTTTTATAAAGTTTATTACTCTTTCTATAATAAATTAATATAAAATTTAAAAATTTAAGATTTGTTATATTCAAATAGTTTATTATAAAGAGATTTATTATAGAGAATTATAAATTTATATTTAAGTAAAATTAGATATAATTAATAGCTTTAAAATATTTATAATTTATTTTATATTTGTTAATAAAGAGAAAATATATTCGAATTTAAAAATAAAAATTACTAATTTTATTTTAGAAAATTTAATAAAAATTTAATAAAATATATTAATTAAAATATATAAAATGCACTAAACTTATTTAAAAAAATATAATATAAAATATGAAATATGCTAAAATATTTTATATTTATTAATAAAGAAAAAATTATAAAATAAATCAAAAAATATAATAAAATATATTAGTTAATAAAAATAGATTAAAATAAAATACAAAATATTTTGATATATATAGTAGTAATAAAAAAAATTAAATGCTAAAACAAATTTATAATAAAATATACTAAAAATATAAAAAATATAAGTTTTTTTCTTTATATAAAAGTTTTCAATTTATTAATAAATATTTTTTTATTTTTATATTAAAATAAAGATACTATTATATATTTTAATATATATTTTTTTAAATTTTTTAGATTTAAGCTAACAAAACTATTTTTTATGAAATTCTCTTAGATGAATTTATAAATATACTCAAATTTTATGAGTTAACTATTAATTTAATAAAAAATGATTTGACAATAATAATTTATTTGGAATAGCTCATAACAATTTTGGATAAGAATTAATGCCAAGATTAGAATGAATATACCAAATGATAATATATCAAGAAAAAAAATAAAATTCGTATTGATTTAATAATTTTTTTGTTGGATTAAAAAGAACAAAGTAATACAAAAATAAATTTAAATTTCGAAATATTTAATTTATAATGTCAGTAAAAATTAAGCAAATTACTTTAATAAATTTGCTTGTTTTTTACTGACGACTCCCGAATTATAAATATATTATAACACGATTTAAAACTTTTAATTATATACGTATGATAGTTGGTTTTGATTGCCACTATCGCTATGTAATCTTATATCGATATGAATTATTTTTGATACATATATCAAATCATTAGTGAGTCTCGTTATAACGACATCTCGATATAACGATATTACCCTCACCGATTATTAGTGACATGTAAAATCCTACTCGATATAATGTATAACAAAAATTTTTACTAATGGAATCGAGAGTATCGTTATAACAACAACTTGTTATTGCTTTTATTTATTATATTTTATATACATAAAAGGGATTAAAAGTAAACTTTTGCTATGATCCCGAATCTACTGGTATCAATAATGGTAACATTTTCCATTCTTTCTCCAGGAGAAACAATTACTTGCAAGAGGAAGTATTATATAATTCCCTATGGATATGTTACACCCGGAAGTAGTAATTACTTGAATGCAATGTTCCTATTAAAAGTGTAAATTGATTTTCCAACTAGTCTTTTATTTGACACCAACGAGGCGCAGTTGGATTATTATTCACCTTTGTCTGTTTTTGGAAAATAACTAGTTTTTTCTAGGTGTGAAATAAAGAAGTTTAACTAAATTTAAACCGATAGACAAAAAACAAAATTTGGTCAAAACTTTAGTATATAATCACAATTTCTAATTTGCAAGAAATACATAGCATGAAACGCATAATGATACATAATTTCTTAATTTGTATTCTTTTTGTAAACAAATAAAAATAGTGAACAAATGAAATGTCAGGTTGTATCAAAAGACTCGAAACTAACTATATTAGTGTCTGAAACATTTTTTATATATAGTGCATACATGTATTTATTATTTATTTATCGTATTATTGATTTGTAAATATCGATATATTAATCGTTATCGTTATAGCAGAACGAAAAGAGTAATTTTCCGATGGGAAATTACGTATTAATGTTGTGAGAATATAATTATGCATGATTACAATCTACCAATTAAGCGTTTTCTATTAATACTTTTTTCAAACCAAGTCTAACCCTCGATTAATGTTTTTTCCTTATTAAATATTTTAGATCATAGTCGTAATTTACAAAGAAGGGATTGAAATAAAGTTTTGATGTTTTGACCAACTTAGGAATCCAAAGATGTTTTATTTTTTCACACATCAAAACTTTATGGTTTCTATTTATAACTTATAAAAACTATCAAAACCCATTTAAGGCAAATATTTTGATTCGTTAATTCTGGTCAGAATTACGTATGTAAATTTTGAGGCCAATGAAGATCTATATCAATTACAGTTTATTATTTTCACAAAATTCTCTGTACATTAAATTATATTACTATTTACAAAAACTCTGGCTACTATTCACCGCATAATTCACAGAATATAACTATATTATAAACAAATTGGTTCCATCATAATTCAATTTAATATGGATTTCGCAGAAACTATATCGGTTAGTTTTTCAAGTTGTTGCTCTAATGTTTGGATTTTCTCTTGAAGAGATTGAATTTTTCCTTTGCAAAACTCGCAATTAACTTGTGGTAAAATAGAAGAATCATAATTTGAGGAAAGGGAAGAAGTGGAATCGTCTAAATTATCATTGTTTGAAAAGGGTGAATTTGAATAGTCTTGTGTTGTAGAGGAAAAGGGGATGGTAAGATTATCCGAATTCGAAGGGAATGCAAATGGATCATAAAAATTACATGTATAAGGTTGTGGAATGGTTTGCGAAATAAGATTGTCATCTTTAATTGAATTAAAATAAGAATCGGAGAAAAATTGCGGATTTGATTGATAAAGATTCATTTCTAAAGTCGAAACGGATGGTAAAATCATTGAATTTTCTTTTTGTATATTGATATCATTATTATTATTATTGTGATTATTATTATTATTGTTGTTTTTGTTATTATTGTGATTATTATGATTATTATTATTATCATTATTATTATTACCATTATTATTATATGCTGTCTCTGTGATATTTTGGGTATTGGAACTTTTTTCCTGCCGAAAGTAATTACATGTGAATTGTGATTGATATTCACTTTCGATAAAAGAAGGAAGCCTTTCTTGACACATTTGTCGATAAATGTCTCTGGCTTCTGCAGCTATTCGTTGATATTCTTTTCGGACATTTTCCGGTTCTTTTGCCCAAGAGTCTTTAACCATTGATGAAAGCTTCGGTTGAGTAATCACCGGATGTTTCATTGAGCCAAGCTCCTTACAGAAAGCCATACGATAAGCGATAAAAGCATTGGGTACCCTGGATAATTGGCCAGTATTGTCAAGTTTGGTTATGGCTTTTTCAATCAGGTTTATTGCGGTTATATCGGGCGGAAATCTTGGAGTCACTTGTGGCATTGAACCGCATTTCTTATTTTTGCTTGCGGATGATTTGGTTTTCATTTTGTAAACCGTGAATTTAGAAAAGATTATGGAGATGAAAAAAATAATTTGTCTGAATGCTAATACGCAATGACAGAAAATTATTCGTAAAAAAAAATTCGACGACCACTTCTTTATATCGAAAATCTTTGATACTTGGGACCTTCTATTAATATACGTTATTCTATTCCTTTGCTCCAAATAATAAAGCATATACCTCTTGCATCAAGTTAGCCCGGGAACTTCTTTTTTGTCGGGATCTCCGTCCTAGTTTTTTTTGGGCGTCGATGTTTACCTAAAAAAAGGGGGGTTTTAAGAAGCGTTCCCACTTTCTTAGTTTACTGTATATATAATACAGTAAATTTTTAACTTGGAAATTCATTTATAATTGCTTACACACATTAACAACAAGTAAATAATGAAGCTAAATAATGATAAACAATTTAGCTATTTATAGCATTGCATTAGTCTTTTCTTTGCAAGGTAGACTATATTCTAAATTTAGACATACAATAGTAAGAATATAGAATTCATTTTCTCCAATTTAATCTTTATAATCTTCAGACAGAAGGGAAAGAGCTTGTGTTTTAAATTGTGCAAAATTGACTCAACCTCGTCTTACTTTTCCTTTCTCAAGAGATCGTCCTACTCTTCCTTTCTCAAAAGAAATTGTTATCCAAAAAGGTTCAGTCAATAGATAATTCTATACGCCGGAAAAATTCAACTCCATACTTCATAACACATCAGATATCGCCACCGTGATATACGTATGAGGAGTCATTCGAACTACACATCAAAATTTTCTCGGTATAATTTACATACTTATTTAAGGGAACTGCGAAAAGAACTGTTCCATGCATGAGTAAATAGATTAAAAGGTGCTTTTAAAATTCAACCCATTATGTCTATTATGTAAGTCTGAACACAAAAAATGCATCACACGTCATCAAAGCATATGTTGCTTCTTCCAAACAGTTACCCACAAAGATTCTTAATTTATAACACGAAGTGCATATCTCTTGGACTCATGTGATCTGCATTTACAATATTCTTCCATGTAATGTGCATAGCGTTTTCACATTTTGTTTGTTGTCCAATGCAAAAGGGTTTTCATGTCAAACTTCTAAAATTGGTTTATGAACAGTTACGTACTCCGTAACGACAATGTCAGACGAAATGCAGCAAAAAAAAATATCGATCGCTAATTTTCTTATTGAGACAACGCATGCATGTATCTTCGTAACGCCGGAAAAATTCCATTACATCATTATTCTGTGGTCTAATTTTCAAGCATGATGATAGTAAATTTAAATGTTGTGGATCAATATGACTGAATTAATGATGTAATTTTTCTGTGTGTGTGACCCACTATTCCTTGTACATGTAGTCTCTGGAGCTATTAAATTTTCGCAAGAAATTGGCGTACATACACATCAAAGTGAAAACTTGGTGAGAATGTTGGCAACCTCATGTTTCTCATTAATAATTATTATTACCAAGCTTAAATTTGACTTTACATGTATAATTTTGTTAGATCGGCCGAATTAGTAATGCTTTGATGTATCATAGAGGGAAAAACAATTTCTCGACCAAAAATTGCTGACATTAGCGCATTGTTTATTTGTGGAATAACTTTGTAGACCCTTTCGAAAGTAATTCCAAACTTCTAAATAAAGTTAGAAGGATCGTTTCGTGTTTCTGAAAACATTTAGAATTTAGCCAATCATCGATCACGAAAAAATTGTGTTCCTCGAGTTGTCATATAATTTACTTTGTCCGGCCGTGCTGAATCACCATGCATATAGATATTTAATGATGCCTTTCCATTTTTGAAAGAATGCTTTATTCTTAGTAAATAAGGTTTTACCGCCAGCGATAGAATTTATAAATTTGACGTCATCATTTAAAAGTTAAAGAGTGATCACAGCATCCATTCACTCATGCAGCAGTCTATACAGAATGTTCAGAAGATATGTGTGTTGTGTGACGAGAAGCAAAATTTATTTACCCTTTTATACAGCACCTAAATACGTATTTTTGGTACCTATCTATTAAGTGTGAAATGCGAATAATGCTTATGAAGATTTTTAAATTATTGTCCATATATTGAAAATATTACAAATATTAAAAAGATTTAAAATTTTAATTTTAAATTTCTTTTGCTCGCATTAATCCAAGAAAAATAACGATTGATTTCCTAAATAGGCAACAATATTGTTGGCCTTTTCCAAATGCTAGAACAATTAAATGTTAAAAATCGAAAACACCAAGACTTGTTGCTAGAATTTATCGATGGTTCAAGTTCATTGTTTCTCTCGGAGGTATTAGACGCGTGGCAACACAAACTAGTGTCTTGGTATTCATCGTGTGTTAGTTAGTCTGATTGTTGTCATGTACATGTAGCAGGTTATTTCTGTACAACATTAACTACATCATATCTGCTTAATGCACATGACTCGTTATGATTGGTTATGCTTGATCATGCTTGATCTACGATTTTTTTCTATATAAAATGCTCGAATCTTAGTGACAAAAATCTGTTGCTTCAGGAAGCACGAATAAAATTGTGTATGTTTTAGCTTTTAATTAGTAACATTTAAGTTTCTCTGAAAAAACAAATAATAATAACAACGAATTAACATAATGTCGGTTAACGAAAAGTCCAAAAAAGAATTGCCATTGCAACGCGTTGTTCCACGTTTTCCACCGGATATTACCATACAAGAATTATTAGAAAAAGCCATCAATAAATTAGAACACTCTGGACAAGTTTCAAGAATTCCCAATGCATTTATCGCTTATCGTATGGCTGTTTGTAAGGAACTTCATTCGATGAATCATCCGGTAATTACGCAACCACAACTTTCGTCAATCACGCAAGCTTCTTGGGTCGAGGAGCCTGAGCACGTCCGAAAAGAATATCAAAGAATTTCCGCCGAAGCAAGAGAAATTTTCAAAAAAATCTGTCACGTCTATATACCACCCGAGTATCAACATGAATTTATGCCAAATGATGCGACACGAAACGCTTATTGGAATCATCCACAATTCGATGCTTTTGGCAATTTCGATTTTTATTCAAGACAATATGTTCCTTGTAAATTTGACGGCGCTGATTCTGTATCTTCAAACTATTCTTCGCCGAATTGCGCTTATGCGAACAACCCAAGTCCGAATCACGAGAATTTTCCAACTAATTCATATACATACTACTCAAATGCAAACGAGCAATCCTGGAATTGTCCAGAATACCAACATAATAACAATAACACTTATTATTCTAATATTAGTCATCAGGATAATGGTAATCATAACAGCAATAATAATAGTTGTACTTTTCAGGGAAATTTTTTCCCAGCATATCAGACGGAGCAACCCTCAATAGTCACCCCAACGACTTTGTACAATCAGAACCCTGGCTCAAGTCCCGATTTGTCAAACCATTTTCAAACAAACCAATGCAACTGTTGCAAGCAGAAAATGTTCGAAATGCAAAACCGGATAAATGAGTTAGAAAGTAGAGTAAGGGAATTGACTTCTATAGTTGAGAAAAAATATTTAGAACATGAATTATAAATTTCTTCTGTATATATTAATAAATAGAACAATCTTCAAGTTAAATATTCATTAATACTCTGTATTTGACACTAATAAATAACAATAATAATAATAAGATTCACGTTAGACAAGTTTAAGTTCTTGAAATCTTAATAAGGAATAAATAAAATTTTAATATTGAATTGGATATTTATTTTTGCCATGAAGATTAGAGAGATCTACGCGTTCTCGTCACAATATTTTATATACAAGTCTTAGGGACAATATATTGTATAATCTTAATAGGTTAGCGAAAATAACAGATTACAAAATTTTCCTTAAAAGTTTTGTCAGACATCTACATGACACCCAAACAAGAACTTTAAGCCTTGATCAAATTTTGCTATTGTCAGGACAAAGACACACAAAATAACTCGGGTCTCTAAAAGCGAACTTTTAATGGAAATTTTTTCTCAGAAGTAATTAATTCGTGTTAGAAAGCTTTATTACATAACCTGTTGAAACACGAGGATTCTACAGGGCGAAAAAGTTTTCCTAAATGTGTGGTTACAGCTCTATGGCGTTTTGCCATAAAAGATTTAATCAAGTTTACTGTTAACCTTAAGAAAAATCTTTCGAAAAATGCATGTAAAGGCTCTCAAACAAATAAAAAAAAGGTGCGAACGCCGAAAATTTTATCACTCCCTCTGGGATGCACGTATTCGAATTTCTAGATGATCGATTGTGAATATCTCTTTCATTTGATATTTACGCAAACAACACGACCTGTATGAAAACTGGCAGAAGTAAGCAAATTGTTACTCAAAATTGTTCATAGATGCAATTAACAATGATCATACAAAAAAAAGCCGGGATCAGTGTCGAGCTCTATGACTCGAATTTTTAAGGGATATCTTCTGTTCCGGCGCTGATCCTGTATTCTTTATTATTCACCTATTATAAAGCATTGCAAGTAAAATAAAAAGCTTCTTTTTTATTCAATTCTTTTCCCGTGATCTTTGTGAACAGAATTTTTATATTTTATATAATCTAAAATACAAACTGATGTATTGGAACTCTTTCAAAGAACTGTCGTTTCATAAGGGAGGACAAATCGGTCCTCCAAACAAAGACAAAGCTTATTCTAAAAATAATAGTAGTCAAATGAAATTCTTTTTTGTTGTTAGAAACTAATGCAAGAAAACGTCAGCTTACAGACGAACATTACGTTTTTGTTCTTGAAAATTTTAAGGATGATATCTATTAGTACACAATAGCGAAAGATTGTGTTTGAAGAATTTTCTCACATGTGCTACGAATTTTCAGATTCGTTGCCAACAATATATTGCAGGAATTCTAGTATAATAAGAAGGTCGTATAAAGAATCGTCGGGATCGTTAAGATAATAAAACGTCTATTGCCAAGTGAGAAACTTGTAGTGTGCTACGCAAACACACATATTGCTTTTTAATTGTAAGAACCGAGATTTGATGTCAAATACTTATTCTTTATTCTTGTACTTCATAACTGTCGGAGTACTTTGTTAAAAATTCCGGCCGAATATTTACAGTATTTCGCATAAATGAATACCGAAAGTTGAAAAAAATAGATTATATTATTATTGTTTTACGAAATACTTTAGAAGCACTTCTTTTAGCTGAAGTCAAAACATTCGAAATACTATCTACATTCAAGTGAGAAGGATTTTTGTGTTTCTTCTTTTTTTCTTTTACTTGCATACGAATTTGTAATTATCGTTATTGACTAAAAATAACCAGCAGATCACGCCTTATTATAATTTAACATTAGCGTTAGTGCTATTATGTTAGTATTGTTAAATTTATTACTAATACTAAGATAAAATTTACTTTAAAAAGACAAAAACTTCTATTGTTCGCTCAAATAACTCGCCAAATGATCTTTATAATCTTTAAATGATCTGTTTTATTCGTTTGAAACTGAAAATTTTTGCCTATTCGAAATTTCGATATATTTTAGATTTCTTCAATCCGCTGGCATGCTTTTTTGTCAGAATCTTCAATATCTTTTAATGCTTTTCTACTCCGAGAAAAATCATCTCTTTTTCTTGTATTTCATTTTTATGAAATAAATGAAAGAATTCTATAAATTTAATTTTTCAAACATAATTCGTGAGTGTCCAAACAGCTAATAATTTTCGTCAAATAGCGCAATACAAGCCACTCTTGTTATAGTGAATGTGTACAGGACAGGCTATTAGAGAAATGTTTTCAAAATACACTACAACGCGATCTTGTTATAGTGAATGTATCCGGGGCTATTAGAGAAAAATTCACTATATCGAGAATTTAAATTCACCAATAGTGGAACCGCTTAGAAAGATTCTTAACCGGTTGCACTGGTCGAGAGTATTAATTTTACTTAGTTAATATCAAGGTTAAATATAGTGGAGAATGCAAATTTTTTACTATTCTTTTACCTCAATATTGACAGGTAAACAAATATTTTCGAACAGTATTAGCCAACCGTTTAACCGCGATTTGTATATACAAAGTCACTCTCGTTATAGTGAAAGTGTTCAGGCTATTAAAGAAATTTTATTATACCGAGAGGATTTATTGTAGAATGTTTTGAATTCAAGTTCACTATATCGAACGTTCACTATATCGTAGGGTCGTTATATCAAGTGTATCTTTGCAAGTCCAGTTAATTGTTATGGTTTGTTTCTATGATTAAAAAATTTGGAAATTATCATCATTTCATTATACAAAAATTTGGGGGAGGGGGGCATCAAGCAAATTTATTAGAGTAATTTGCTTGATGTTACTGACGGTCACCATTTGTTCATTATTGTATAATAATTATTTCCTGCACCATACAACCATTCTAAAGGAACAGAAGTTGCTCAAGTATTTTTGTAGAAATCGATAAATCGATAAATCAACAATGTTCGCCAAACAGAAATCATTCTTTAAACTGTGGTTAACGTTAACCACGGTTTGGTTAATCTTTAACCGTCAAATCGTCGGTTAGCCGGTTAATTATTAACCGGTAAGATTCACTATCGCTATATCGAGATGATTTATTGTAGACTGTTTTAAACTCAAGTTCACTATATCACGGCATCAGGAAGATTTTTATTTATCTCCAGGCATGTTCGGACAAATCTCTGGACAAAACCCTATGTATAGGGATGTCTCATGACAAAGTTATCATGGGACAAATGTCTTCGGGTTCATTCGTAGGTTTCGGGATCAAAGTTGCCATGGGATAAATGTCGTCAAAACATAAGTTGTCAAGGGACGAATGTCTCTATAAGGATGTCTCATGACAAAGTTATCATGTCGTAGGTTTCGGAATCAAAGTTGCCATGGGATAAATGTCGTCAAAACATAAGTTGTCAAGGGACGAATGTCTCTATAGGGATGTCTCATGACAAAGTCATCATGGGACAAATGTCTATATATAGGGCTGTCTTATGACAAAGTTGTCATGGGATAAATGTCTTCAGGACAAAATTATCATGGGAAAAATGTCTCCAGACATAAAGTTTTGTCCAAACATGTCCAGTGACAAGTCATAGGACATAACGAGAGTTATTAAAGAAAACCGAGTATTGATTGGATCTTATAATGAAATGGAATAGTAAATTTTTATATAATGAGCTAAAAACATTTTTGATTTCATCATTTTAACTAAATGTCGATCGATAATAAACAGTGAAATTCACTTGAACGAAGGTTCACTTGAATATAACGAAGATTTTTTAAAAAAATCCCTTTATTATGAATATTAATAGAAAGAGACCACTTTAAAGAAGTTTTTTGTTGGAACGGGAACCTTCGTTAAAATATGTACAGTAGCACCAAGTAAATCTGGTTAAGTTCCAGAAACAGTCATAGTAACTCCACCTCGATAAACCAGATTTTACCAACAGCCCGACCACTTCGTTATACGTATCAGGTTTGACTGTAATTGGTTATATGCTAGGTAATGTCAGATGATAGTGGCATTTCTATTAAATAATATTCTTGTTGTCAGTCTGCATTATAATAATTCAAACTCGCATTTAGTTAATTCTGGACAGCGTTATGCTAATTCTGCGGCTTGCTTGCCGTAATTGTTTTAAATAATTACGACATCGCGGCAAGTATTTTAAACAATATAAATAAAGTAATCACGGCATGGTCATAATATCAAAAATGAATTACGGCAAACAGCTTTAGTCTTGGTAGATAAAATAAGAAGTCATGTACGCATAACGTAACTTCTTGTGATTTATTAGTTGAACCATTTTTCTGATTGATAAGCTTGGGAAAGTATTTGGCGCATTTCTTGGATGGCTTTGCTCCACCAAATAAATTATGTGCAAATAAACAGCGCAGCGGCGTCAAACCAACTATTGACTCTAACGCTATTAAAAATTTTACGTTTACATTATAAATTCGCTATTATGACATTTAAAGAAAGAAATCATTTTCGTTCTGCAAAAATTGTTTAGCTTGGCGAAAAAAAAACAATTGATTGTAAGACAATAAGTTATGTAAGAAAGTAACAATGAAAATATTAAGATTATAGTCTTGTAAATATTATGAAATTTGCACCACTTAAAGACAATTTCCTCTATTCTCGATATATAGGTAGAGCCTTGTTTTTTCTTTTTGCTCTAATTAAGTATTCAAAGAAATTTAAGGTTTTTTCGTGTCTACAGGGCATGAAGACAATTTTAATAAATTTTTAATACTTACATCCATTAAAGCTAAAGAACTTGCTTTTTTTTTGTTAAACTTGCATGAATAAGACGATAAGATGAACCAATTGTTAATGAATATTTGATAGCTTTCTTGATAACAAACTTTTTAGATGCCCTGCATAAAGTCAAATACTAATTTGGAGCGTAATCAGTTTGCAATCTAGTGATTTACCCGAAAGAACGGTTTCCTTCTCGTCTATAATAATGAATTGAATAGAACATGATGTTTGATGGCAAAACACGTCATATCATCTTGGTAATATTTGGAACACAAATGTTGTGTTTGCAACAGATCATCAATTTATTTGATCATCCTTTTTCTACCGAAAATGGTTGAAAAATGATGGCAATTATGTATTAATAATTGCTTTTTTTACAAGATTTTCTTCAAGAAAACTTTATTTTTAGCAAAAATCAGCTTGAAGAAAGTTATTTTCTAGTAGGACGACTTGTAAGCGTCTAAACATGTTATTTCAAGCATAACTGTAATCTAAAAAAAGAGAATTTAAAATCTTAGTCGGGTATTTAAAATTTGCATATATGCAATAAAATGAATAAATATTCTTTCAGAGAATAATTCAGGTTAATGCACATGTATGCGTGTTAATTTTTGTTCTAAAAAGGCAGCCCAATAGATATTTTATTTATTTGGATGCCAACAAAAAAAAAACAAATTTATTTTCGATTTTCATTCTAGAAACCCAAGATCTTGAAATATTCTTAAAGTTTGAATTAAAAAGTTTGGTTTATATATATGAATTTGATGTTGCACTTTTTCTAGTTTTGGAGTCATAAATAACAACTTATCGTTATAAAGAAATTTGCTTTAAACTTTGCATCATGTATTGTACGCATTATGAAATTTCTATGTGTCGAAATACCAATCATAACACGTCCAAAACACTTTGTGTATATAAAAAAATAGACTAGAATTTCAATGAAGATATCCTCAAAAACAATATAAAAATCTCATCTTGGAACTCCAGAGAAAGTTGATCCACGTCGCCAAAGATATTAATTACTTAGTAATAGAAAACGTGTTTCCCAGAGACAATTATAATAGAATCCTTTTTAGCTTAGATTATTCATACCATTCTCGATCAAATTGTCTCTGCAACCACCAAGAAACATAAACATGGAATCAAATTCTGACAACACAAATACTATAAACATAGAATCAACTTCTGACAACACAATTAAAGAAATTAACTCGTTGAAAGAGACAATTCCTAAATATCCACCCCAAATCACACCAAATATCTTGATTGAAAAAGCGGTCGAAAAGCTCCACAAGACTGGAAGAAGATCAAGGATCCCGAATGCATTTATCGCGTATCGTATGGCGATTTGTTCTGAGCTTCGCATTAGTGAGAGTCCAGGCTTAAATCAACCAAAACTCTCTTCATTGGCAAAAGATTCTTGGAAAAATGAACTTCCCCATGTACGAAAAGAATATCAAAGAATCGCTGCGGAAGCTCGCGACATCTACAAAAATATGTGTGACATATATGCGCCCATTGACGACGAATACGAATACAGTAATAGCAATTACTTCTCACAGACATTTGGCGAAAATGATGCGGAAGAATGCCATCTAGAAAATTATAACATCGGTGCGAGTGCAGACCTAGCGGATCTTGCATCCTTTCCTTCTGAGCAATTCCATCAAGCGATACAAAGCACTTATTCACAACAATATATGCAACCATCTATTTTATCTTCGAATTCGGTCTCTTTAAATCCGAATTATCCACCCAACCAAGAAATCGGAGATATGAAATCACATATATCAGCAACTTCTAACGGTCATTATCCTTATATGAATTTCGAAATTGAATCTAATCATTCGAATACGTTCCATTCTAACCTACCAGCACCTGGTGATAATGGTAACGATGACATTCTTTGTAATTTTTGCACGGAAAAGATGATAGAAATGGAGAATTCAATTCAAAGTTTGGAGGAAAAAATTACTAAATTGAATTACTTGATTAATGATGACCAAATATAACGATAGCATCCATAAAATCCATAAACTAAAAAAAAATATGTAATTACATTAAGATTTATGTAGAATTTCAGACTCTATATTCTCGACAAATATGATTCTTACTTTTAATTTCCAACTTATGTTAAATAAGAAAATAATACTAGTTTTGCTGTTGAATAACATATTTTTATAGATTGAACAGTATATGGTGCGATAACTGCTAAATTTTAAGTTGATTTTCGATTATACATATGTGCATGTATTTATTATATTATTAAAATCGTGATATTTTTTATACATGTATCAATTTTATCGATTAATTTACTGATAATTATTACAAGTATTACGCTATCGTTATCTATCGCTATTGACAATTTGATAACGATAATAAGATACATGTATTTATTTTGCGGATTAACAGCTGATAACGATAACGATAATAGTTAAATACATATTTTTAATATCGATATGTGCAAAACGAATGCGATTAAGTTCTCTATTTTTTATTCTGGCATAACTTATACAGCAGCCCCTCGCATAATACCATCAAGGTGCCCGACAGCATTAAAATTTCTCGTTTCTACCAACAAATTTGTTCTCCCACCAATTAATTCAAAACAGATAAATAAAGGGCAGACGAGAGGCTGGTTGATTGACACTATTACAGTTTTTCACTCTGAATTATTACTTGTCCAATTTTGACGAAAGATCCGAAAACCTGCGATCATGACTACATACTACGTATAATGTAGAAATTAACTTGTAACGATAATAGGTACACATGTATTAATCTTTTCTTTTCTTTAAAGAGTGCAGTCGTCCATGTACAACCAATGTGTCACTTCAAGTTTCATGTTATCTTCCCGCAATATTGTCGACAACGAATCTGAAATTTGCAGCACATGTGAGAAATCTTTCGTTATTATAGCTATTTTCCTTAAAATTTTCAAAGAATAAAAACGTAAAGTTCGCCTGTAAGCTGACATTAGGCTCCGAAAACAAAAAAAAAAGAATTTTATTTGGCTATTTATATTATTTATCTCCAATTCTTTTTAAATAAAATCTAGCACATAATACAATATATTACCGGGAATTCCAAAAATGAATTTGTCACTTTGGAACCCGATATTTCGATCCCATTCGAACAAAGATATCACCATTAGATTCGT